CCATGGCCTCTTTCAACTTTTTTTTTTTTCTTTTATTTTATTCAGTTTATAGTTTTTGCCTATTGTATGAAGCAAAAGATACAGGGAACCAGAAAAAGACGCTTTTCTTCCTCGTAGTAAGGCAACATAAGTTACTCTTTATCAAATTCTGATTGGACATTTCCACCACCATGTTCAACAACACATTGTACACTATCACGAAACTCCGCCACAGCCTTCTGGACGAGCGCCATCGAGAGATTCTGCCACGCGACCTGATTCGGCGCCTGAAGTCGCTGATTTCTCCGCCACTGTAGACCACCCTGTTGAGCTCCGCTGGAACCCGGTAATCGAGGGGTTTAGGTCAGGTGACACACTTAGATATTCCGTCTTCTCCACGTTCTCAACGCCCTTCCTTTCCAATGCCCATTCGATTCCATGTGGTGGCACCCAATCCTGTAGCAGTACAAAGTTTCCAAGATGGTACAGGCGATGACATGAAGGCAGGATATTCTCCACGAGTTGGTCGATGTAACCGTCAGCGTTCACTTCAGTCCGGGGTCCACGAAGAAAATATCGGTCTTCCCATTCCAGGAACTTGGTCCATACCATCAACCCGCGCCTTGGCGACTGCGGTGAAGATGATATCCTGGACCGTAGCGACGTTGTCGGAGCTGCTCGATGTTGGAGGGATCGAGAGTACTGGTCTCCAGGTAGCTGTCCATGGGTGACTCCATACAAGAAGTTTCGCAGCTGTTTGGAGGTGACGTGAATTTATAGGCCTTCTCCAGTCAGGCTGCGATTGGAGATGGCTTCATATTTTGGTGTACATGAAGGTGATGGACGAGAGCCTGCTCCTGCTTATCGAGGAACATCTTGGGTATCTTCCGCCCTGGTACTCGTATCCACGTCTTCTGTCTGGGCTGCGTAAACGTTACTGATATGTGGCTCGGTCAAAGTGTGTGGTCCCCTTGTACGTAGCTGGGTGGGAAGTCCGTTGAGAAAGCTCCCCGGGGTGCTCCCCAATGTGGGTGCTGATCACCTAGCATGTATCGGACCAGCCTTTCCCACTACTGTAATCGGGTAACTTTTGGCTTATGAGTAGAGCTCTGGAAAGTGCTGTCGGAAGCGATTTTGGTCTCCTCACAATGGGCAGCGTACTTTTATTGAGCAACTTCACCATTTGGCGTCGTTGACGGTGGCTAAACAATAGCAAATGGTAGAAGAAGCATGTCTTGTCTGAATACCAGACAACTTCACGAATGGCGGAGTACGGATTCAAAACACGTGTCTATGTTCCTGGCTTCAGCTCCGTCTGAATCTCTTTTTATGATTTGCTTGAGGTGAGGTACTCAGACTTCAGTGCAACTGAAGGTTCTGTTGCCGAGCTGTCTTAAGTGTACTCGCGCGAAATTGATCAAGCCTCCTACGTGCATAGTTAGCTTGACGGTGCATTTTGCTATTTCGAAATTAACTAATTGTATGCCTTTCCGTCCACTCGGTAATGCACATTGACCTGTAGGGAGCACCGCTTATGCGGCAGCCCTATTATTTTTGAAAATCCATGCTATGGGTTTTTATAGTCTGCAGCTTCCGCTTATTATCGAACTTACCATCCCGGGACCTTTTTCTCTTCCCCTGCATTCTGGTCCCTTGACTCAATCACTATTGAAAGTCCATACTGTGCTCATAATCTACATCAGGGCCGAGGATTTTATTGAGGGCAGTTTTTTTTTCCTTTGAATGATGGGCTGTTTGAACCTATCACCAACCGTTTCTTTTCAAATCCCATTACCCAGATTCTCTTATCATGGAAAACAAAAAAGCCCCTGTAGTGCTCTTGGCTACGTGTTTTGGATTCCATCAATTTAGTGTTAAATTGGACAGAATTGAATCAGAATTACCCGAATGAACTTCTCAACCACGGACATTCCATTTGTATTTCTTAAGTTAATCCTATTCGCCTTTTTCATTCTGACTTGGCATTATTCTAATTAGGTAGCAGGTCTTTGTAGGCTCGATTCTTATCGAATAGAACGGAACCTCTGCTATTGTTCTTCGACCCTTTCTTAGAACGTATTTTGACGATCATACGAGGCGTCAAGGGGGTCACAACTGGCATCAACATTGTGGGGAGCGTGAAACTTGACACAATTTGCGCCCCGGAAATCAATGAGCAATTCAGATGAATCGATGAGGCGATCGATGAATGATAGATAAATTATTTGTTATTCAGATGGTCCGCGAGGAATTACTCATTCTTCTGGGGACGCAGTCTCGATGAGGGTATCAAATACCGCCTCGGCACCTTGTTTCCCGAGCAATCCGTGCAGAACATGAACGAGATCGTCATTAAACCACGGGAACTGCCGGAACATTTTGACGCACGAGAAAAGTCAGTACCAACTCAGAGACTGAGCCTGTTCGTACAAACTATCACTAAAAATTTGTTTCAGGTGGCCTGGACTAATCCATGAGGTGAGGGATCAGGGAGATTGCGGAAGCAGTTGGGCTGTTTCAACGACTACAATCTCTTCCGATAGGTATGTCTTGCTCCCAGACGAATCGCCCCGTATTTCGAGGCAATAATGAGCGAGAATTTCGCGGGGACTCGCAACCGCTGTGCATCCCTCGGGGCACCTACAAGGAAGGCATATTGGTTATGAGTCTCCACCTATTCTATTGTCGTGGAATGTGTCTTTAAGTCACAATTCAGGCTAGCCATCATTTCTGATGGACGAATCAATGTCACCGGTTTCTCCGCAGCAGCTTCTATCATGCAACCAACATCGACAACGAGGTTGTGAAGGCGGCTATCTGGATAGGGCCTGGTGGTACATCCGCAAACTAGGGTCAGTTTCTTCTATCATTACTGACGTTGGAAACCCACTGGCTAGGATAGACCCGATCGGGACGGTTCTCAGTCTTTACACGATTCTATTTGAGGCGAAATCGGAGGTTAGAACAAAATCGAGCATCACTTTCTTTGCTCTTCTGAAATCCATTACCAAAATCTTGTCTGATCTGAAAGCTACTTCTATGTGTGAAAAACCCCGCTCTCTTATACCTTACGACCAGAGTATGTCCTGCCGCTGGAGGAAATTCCCTGAAAGTGCGACCCTCTCATTCCCTCGACCCTCCCCGCTTTCTCCAACCTACCCACAACTTTCTCGGATTTTCCAACTTCCTACAAAGTCAGCATCCGGAGAAAATTATTTCCTAACGCCACGCTACAGATTTCTCTCAGAGACAAATATGAACCCCACCACCGTCCTCCTCCCTCCCAGCGACTCACCCTTATTCCCTCGATCCTCCCCGCTGGAGATTCCCCAACG